TGCTTACATGAATAAAATAGAAAACGAGGAGATCAATGAGTTGGGCATAAAACTAAAAAAACTAGAAAAAGAACAAATTAAAAATCCTCAATTAAACACCAAATTAGAAATATTGAAAACCAAAGTAAAAATTAAGAAAATTGAAATTAAGAAAAGTATTGAACTAAAAAATAAAACTAAGAACTGGTTTTATGAAAAAATCAATAAAATAGTTAAGCCTTTGGTTAATTTAATTAAAAAAAAAGAAAGAAGAAAACCAAATTGCTAGTATCAAGAATGAAAAGGGTGAAGCTACCACCAAGGAAGAAGAAATTAAAACAATAATTAGGAATTATTTTGCCCAACTATATGCCAACAAATTTGACAATCTTAGTGAAATGGATACATATTTACAAAAATATAAATTGCCCAGATTAACAGAAGAGGAAGTAAAATACTTAAATAACTCCACCTCAGAAAAAGAAATTGAACAAGCCATTGATGAACTCCCTAGGAAAAAATCTCCAGGGCCAGATGGATTTACATGTGAATTCTATCAAACATTTAAAGAACAATTAATTCCAATACTATACAGACTATTTGGGAAAGTAGGTGAAGAAGGAGTATTACCAAATTCTTTTTGTGATACAAATATGGTGCTGATTCCATACACCTCTATGCCCCTTGACAGCAGAAAGCAGTTTCAGAAGCTGTGACCTTTGCCCCTTCCTCCAAGAGAATTTGGGTCCCATTTGTTTGAGGGGGGGAATGATGAGGATGGGATCTACACCCCAAAAAGGAAAAACCCTGGACTTTCCCCCATGGCCAAATCTCTGAGGCTATAATCCCATCAACTGGCTTTTCATTGTGGCTATGCCTAATCTGTTACTCTTAACCTAGCCTAGACTTCCCTATGTCCCCAGGCCACTTCCCACCCTTAATCCTATCTAGGCTCCATTCTCCCTTGGCCACCCCTGGAGTTCTATTATCTCATAGACTACTTGGCCACTCCTAGATCCCTCCCATAGTCTTTCTGTATATAAGGTCCATCTCACTTCCATTAAGATGCTGGGATTCTTACAATCTAGCCACTGCTTAGATTTTCACAATCTAGCCAATAGCCCACAGATGCTCAGATTGCTTGACAGTGTGGTTAATACAGCAAATCTTCAATAAACTGTTTTTGCCTGAAAGAAGGCTTGGGCCAAATTCTTTCAAGCAGGACTCACGTGTTGTGATTTTGGGATTCCAGGAATCCTAACTTCTAGACCTCATCAGAACCACTTTTGCTAAGGAATCCAAAGATTGCTGGATCTCTAAAAGACCATAAGCTGTCATCTTTGCCAACTGGTGAATAGTCTCTGTAAGGTTAGAGAGACTGTGTTCATGTTGTAGATGACCATACCAGGGAACAACATACTATGCTCCCTTTTTAAGAGACCAGGAGACTTTCCCCCAAAATCCATGCTTTGCCCTTAATTTAGAGACTGTGTGGCATTGAAAATGGAGAAAGGGGGTGCTAAAAATCCAAGAGTGCATACCCCAAAGTCCTTGTAGGATGTAAAACATTGGATAACCAAGACAGTAGTTCTGGGGGTCTTGCCATGTGTTTGCACTTTGTTTCACCTCTTCCCCAAAATTCTTGTCACTAGTGGTATCTGCACAGGTAGTGCAGGTTGAATGATCAGCAGAAAGTCTTACAAGCCCTCCCTCCACAGGGCAGCTAACTTGTCTAGTGGCCTTGGAACTTGTCCCCCAAGTAAGGGAATATTCCCCTGCAGAGAAGCAGGTGTTATACAGACAGAGTGAACCATAAAGAAGTGGCAAGCGTAAATGGGGTGGCAAAAACTTCTGAGAAAGTCATATTGGGGAGGTGGACTTTTGCAAAGATGGCTTGTAATGGGAGATAAGAGTTGCCCTGTGGGTGTGAATTGTCTAATGAGTTTCCCAGTTTAACTAGGGAGTTAACTTCCCACTTCTGGAGGCCAAGTGTACATTTAGAGGCTTCATCAATTAGAATGAATATAGTAGCCACTGCCCAGAGGAATGCAAGCCATCCAGCAGCTACAGAGTCTTGTTTTGAAAAATGAGCAACCTGGCTAGGGTCAGGTCCTAAGGACTGGGTTAGGGGGGTGGTGGTCAATGTAGATTTTAAAATCACAAAAACTTTATCCTAGTTTGGGCCCCACTCTAGAGGGAGTGAGTCAGGGCCCAGAGGAGCATCATAAAAAAGCTTAACACTAAAACTATTATTAGGGATCCAGAGTCTACAGAATCCAGCTATACCTAGAAAAGTTCTAAGTTGTTTCTTAGTGGCTGGTAATGAGGATGGGATCTAGACCCCAAAAAGGAAAAACCTGGACTTTTCCCCCAGGGCCAAATATCTGGCATTCCCCTAAGGCTATATTCCCATCAACAGGCCTTTCACTGTGGCTATGCCCAATCTGTAACCCTAGCCTAGACCTCCCTAAATCTCCAGGCCACTTCCTACCCTTAATCCTATCTAGGCTCCATTCTCCCTTGGCCACCCCTGAAGTTCTATTACCTCATAGACTACTTGGCCACTCCTAGATTCCTCCCATAGTCTTCTGTATATAAGGTCCATCTCATCTCCATTAAGATGTTGGGATTCTTATAATCTAGTCACTGCTCAGATTTTTACAATCTAGCCAATAGCTCACAGATGCTCAGATTCTGTAAGAGTCTGGCTACTATGGTAGATCTTTAATAAACCTTGTTTTTGCCTGAAAGAAGGCTTGGGTTGAGTTCTTTCAGGCAAGACTTGTGTGTCATGATTTTGGGATTCCAGCACTCCTAAACTCCTAGACCTCATCAGCTAGGACAAGGAATTCGTGGCCCAGTTACTTCATAGACTGGCATGCTATCTGGACTTTGTTCAAAGAGGCCCTATAGCCTGGAGTTCCCAAGAAATTAAGCACTCCTGAGGCAGAGGCCAAAGAAGCCTCCTGGCTGGGACTACAAATACAGGATGGGAAAATACTTTAGGGTCTCTGAGGTGAATAACCACTGGGGTGGCAAGAGTAGCTCTCCCAGGAGTTCCCTGATCCCACACTGTCTCCCACACTTCCAGGGGAATATGGGGAGGTCTGGCACACAGAGGGAAAAGGGAGATGGGAGGCTTAACTAGAGAAAATTGGCTCCTCAACTTCACCATCAGGTTCTTTCCCAAAGAGGGGGCAGGGCAAAAGGAGAGCATAAGGAAGTAGTGTTTAAACAACAAATTCTCAAATAGGCAGGGGAAAGGGTATGTCTGGAGACATCTCTTAGTTTTCCCTTCAACGCTGTTGACCAGATTGGTCAAGGGGCCAACAGGGCCAGAGAAATTGGTTAAAGCAAAGAACACAGACATGATAAAGTGGGTAACCTTACCTTCAGCCTAGATTTCTGCCCAAGGTTTGGCCAGAGAGATGGAGAAAGTGGGAGTGTTGCCAGGACCCTGGCTCCCCTGTCCTCCCTAGTCTTGGGAAGACTGGAGGACAGGGTACTGGGGGGCTGCTCTACCACTTCTCCAACCTCGGGGACAATCCTTCTTCCAATGTCCCTCCTGGTCACATCTTGGGCAAGGTCCTTCAGGTATCCATCCTGGGGGCTTTCTCCAAGGGGCCGAATTGGAGGGGTACTCCTTGGACTAGTGAGCCTCCTGGTGGCATTGAAAGCAGGTTTTCCCACTGCCGAGTTGACAGGAACACCTTTGGGTCTTTCTTTTCCTGACCATGGTAGCAGCCAGGAATCAAGCATGTTCTTTGTCTCTAGCACTCTTCCTGTATTCTTTTTCTGCTTTAACTAGGTCCCTGTTGTTAAAGACTCCAAAACCTATTATCTCCAATAACTGGGCCTGAGGTGTTTGGGGTCCCTTTGCCAATTTCTGTATTTTTCTCCTAATATCTGGGGCAGTTTGGTTAATGAAATACATGCTAAGGACTGCTGCCTCTTCTGGTAGATTCATGATCTAAATTTGTATACTTTTTAATAGCTTCTACTAGCCTATCTTGGAAAAGGGCAGGGTTTTCCTTTTCTCCCTAAATAATCCCCATAATCTTCTGAAAATGTACTGGCTTTTGAAATGCTGTTTTCAGGCCTTCTAAAAGGCAAATTACCATGTAGTCTCTCTTTCCCCTATCCTCACTCTTCTGATAATCCCATCCAGGATCACTAGCTGGAGCAGCAGCTGTTCCTGGAGAGTACCTACCTTCCAGTCCTGGCTAGGGGTTCGGGGATCCCGAGATCAACACATGCAGGCCCTGCCTGTACGAATTCAACCCATATCTTCTTTCAGCCACAGAAAAAGTTTGTAAGAGATAAACCATACAGGCCAGACTCTTAAGGAATCTGAATATTAGTAAGGCCTGTAAAGAGGAGGGGGCATGAGAAAGTCTCAGTGTTTAAATGGGGACCACGGCAGATCTCATATACACTAAAGTAACTCTGGGTGGCCAGAGGAGAGGCCCAGAAAAGGGACTAGGTGAGAATTCAGATTGGAATGTTAGACAATGGGAATAGATAATGAAGGGAACTAGAAGGAAGAAGTTTGAAAGGCATCTGAATAAGATCAAAAGGTAGGGCAAGGGCTTTCAAAGGGAGATGAGAGGAGTTGATAAGGAACTATTTGAGACCAAGAGTAAGAAAACTTTAAGGGTTTTCTGGGGCCTGTAGACAAAGGGGAGCCAAATTCTTTTTAGAGAAAGGGGCAAAGGTCTCAGCTTCTGAAACTGAATGATGGGCCTATACCCTATCACTATGACCTTAGAGATTTTTTCAATAGCTACTCACCATTCCTTCCCAATTACAGTAATATCAATAGCAAGCCTATCCCATTAAGGCAGTACATTGAGATGCCTTTTTTCAGATGAATCAAGGGATTTTCATCATTTCTCTTTGGTTCAGTTACTGAGTTATAATTCAATTTTGGCCTAGTAATCCTATAATAAGCTGGAAGGAAAGCTGTCTTAGAGAAAGAACCCACAGGCTAGGGAACAAAACACGTGGGCCCAGGCTATCACCTGATGAGAACTGAGCAGCATGCTGAAGGCCACGAGCTTGGCATTCATTTCCTTGTCCTGTTCTAGACTTATGGTCCCTTCTGTGTCCACAAGAAACACAGCCACCTGGAGAGGAGAGGGGAAAGCCAGAGCATGAGGTCGGCATCATGGTCCTCTCCTCCTTCAGTGCCTTCTTCCCTCAGAACTTCCTCAATTCTTCTGCCCTTTCACCTACCTGATTTCCTTCAGTTTCTCTCCTCTCTTCTCTCTCTTATTTTCCCCATCCCCTATACCCACCCTCCTTTCTCTTTTCCATTGTCCACCCCTTAGCTTCCTGGTTTATGCCTCCCACTTTCCAGTCTCCTTCTCTATCTCCCCTGTTCTGGACTCTTACCTTCCTCCCATCCTTCTGCAGAATGAATGGCTGGCTCCATAGCCACAGGCCCTTAGTGGTGCACTGGTCTCCTGGTTCACACTGGAACCCTGAAAGACCTCTTCCTCTTCTCATCCACTGGGGATCCTTGGACTCCTAAAGGAGATAGAATTAATTATTTCTCCCCAAGAGACAGATATCATCTATATGAAATCTCCCCTTTAGAACTTATTTACTCCCTTCTCAAAATCCAGGTCTAGGCATCCTTTCAGAAGCCTTTTTTTTTTTGCAGTTGGGGTTAAGTGACTTACCCAGGGTCACACAGCTAGTAAGTGTCTGAGGCCAGATTTGAACTCAGGTCCTCCTGACTCGAGGGACTGGTGCTCTATCCACTGCACCATCTAGCTGCCCACCTTCAGAAGCTTTTTGCCTCAACTCATTTCTCAGGGTTCCCATCCTTCCCTCCCCTCCACCTGTCCAGGACATGGAATCCCAACCCCAGGCCTTACCACACCCTGCAGTCCTCGGATTAGATAGTTGAGAAGGAAGGACTTTCCTGTTCTCTGTTCCCCCTGGACAGAGATGAGACAGACTGGACTGTTCTTGGCTTGAGGGTGATTCAGACATTGATCCAGAACCTCCAAAGAGAGGGTCAAATACTTTCTGGAGTCCCCTTGAACCAGCTGCTTTGCCTCTCCATTGCAAGCATCACATGGCTTCTGAGTAGAAGAAGGAGAGGTAATGTAAATTGCTAATCTTCTTGGATCTGACCCTGGAGTACCCACCTCTATTAAGTATAATGAAGGAATTCCCCATCTTTCATCCTAATCTTTCTAGATTTAACCCAAAGTTCACAGGCAAAATGCAATTATTAAGTGCTTACTATATGCTAAGCACTATGCTGGTCAAACTTAGAAAATCGTTTTTTCCTTCTTTAGATGAGACTGTGGAGCCCCAATCCCTGACCTGTTTTGAGTTTGCATTCTGCTGTAGGAAGTTCACATTCTCTAATAGATTCTGGAGCCGGGTGTCTGGAGCTAGCTCCTTCCCATCACATCTCCTCCTGCACTCAGGGCATCGAGGTGGTTGGGAACCTGGAACACCTGAGTCCCAATGACTGGTGATGCATTGAGCACAGAAGTTGTGGCCACATTCAAGGGAGACAGGATGTCGAAACAGATCCAAGCAGATGGAGCAGGTAAGGTCAGGCTTCAGGAAATCCAGTGTGTCATTTGAAGAACTCGGTGAGGGCTGCTCGAAAGGCAGCTGGGTCTAAGGATGAAGAACAAGGTGTCAGAGAGAAGGATGTCTAGATCTGGGAAGAGCTGCAGGAGCTAATGGGGGGTAGTTGGGATGTGGTGGCAGGGATGTTCCATTTAAGAGAGGAGAAGTTTGAGAGGAACGATGACCAAATGTGGTTAGGCTATTTTGATATATAATTTCTTTTTATTTTATTCAGCAGAGACATGGTTTATTAAAGATCACCATATTGGCCAGACTCTTAAGGAATCTGAACATTAGTGAGCTATTGTCTAGATTTTAAGAACCTGAGCACTTGGTTAGACTCTTAAAGAATCTGAGCACCTTTAATGCAGGCCAGATGGACCTTATTTACAGAAACACTGTGGGAGGGATCAAGGAGTGGGCAAGTAGTTTGGGGTGACTGGAGGAGAGATCTGGGAGAATGGGGTCTAGGGAGGATCTTGATAGGAGTGACTGGGAGGTAGAATGGGGTCTAGATAGGATCAAGGGTGGGAAGTAGCCCAGGGCCTTGAGGAGGTAATAGACTGGGGAGGGCTGGGTAGGTTAAGGGTGACAGAGAATTGGGAGATTGGGCATAGGAGATAAGGAAAGGCCAGTTGATAAGATCATAGCCTCAGGAAAATGCTAGAGACTTAGTTCAAGGAGAGTCCAAGATGGTGTTTTTTCTAGGGCCTGTAGACAAATGGGACCCAAATTCTTTTGGGGAAGGGGCAAAGGTCTTGGCTTGGGCCTGTATACCATAATTCCTCCTTAAACAAATGGGATACAAATTCTTTTGGGGTGAGGGGCAAGGTCTTAGCTTGGGGCCATACCCCCTCATTCCCCCTTTAAACAAATGGGACCCAAATTCTTTTGAGGTAAGGGGCGAAGGTATCGGCTTTGGAAATTGCTTCTTTTTGGCAAGGGGCATAGAGCTGTCCCTGCCTTGCTGGGTCCTGTTCAAGGGGTCAGACTTCAGGTTCAGTGGGCTAGAGACCTTGCACTTGGTCACAGGTTGGTATATAGACTGAGCAGTCATCTGGAAATTGGTGGCTAGGACCCTTCCAGTCTTGGCTGGAGCAGACCAAGGTTGGGCAGTTTTCCCAGTCAGGGAACCAAAATGTTTAGGCTTAGGGAACCATATGTTGAGGTTTGGGGGTTCTGGGACCCCTGAAATAGCAACACAAGGATCCTGCCCAAATGAATTTGACCCAAGCCTTCTTTCAGCCAAAGACAAGGTTTATTAAAGATTCACCATAATGGCCAGACTATTAAGTAATATGAACATTAGTGAGCTATTGGCTAGACTTGAAGAATCTGAGCACTTGGCTAAACTCTTCAAGAATCTGAGCCAATTTCTTTCTTTTTTTTTTTTTTAAAATACCTCTTTGTGCATCAGTTTCTCTGTGGATCACTGCAGGAAGGAGAGACTGCTAAAGAAGTAGGGGAGGGGAATTCTTATTCTTTTTGATCCCAGACTGATTTGTTTATTACAAAATCTTGGAATTAAAAAGAATATCATAGCTTTTCCAGTCTAACTTGTTACCCAATGCTGGAATGCCCTCTAACATACTGTATGAATACTTCCAGAGATGGGAGTTTTCTGCAGGTTCCCCCAACCCCCACCCCAAAGTAGACTATTCTCTTGCTGGACAGCACTAATTTTTAGAAAGTACCTCCTTAGATAGAGCTGAAATCTCTGCCTTACTGTAAATTTCACTGACTGGAAGTAATTTTGCCCTCTGTAAAAGGCAACAAAGAACAAGATTCTTTCTTCCCCACAATATCCTTTAAGATATTAGAAAATTAATATAATGTGCCCCCTAAATCTAGACTTCTCCAGACTAAACATACCCAATTCCTCCTAATTTGGACTTGGCTTAGATATTAATGAACACTTCTACTTACAAATGGTCATTTCTGTTTTCCATCAAGATGGATTCTTTATGTCCTTGAAGATGAAATTAAAAAGTGACAGAGATATGACAGAACACAGTTAGTGCTGGACCTTGGTACCCCACACTCCTCTCATCTCTGTTCCCTTCCTATCCACTTGTCCTCCCCCTCCACCTCATTTCTTCCCCCTTTCTACTCTCCTCCTATTATCTCTATCTCATTCATTTTTCTTCTCTTCAACTCTATTTATCATCCTCTTTCTACTAGCCAGCTAGTAGATAGATAGAGTGGCTAGAGTACTGGGTCTGGAATTAGGAACACTTGAGTTCAAATCCTGCCGAAGATACTTTCTAGTTGTGTGTAACCCTGGGCACGTCATTTAACCTCTGCCTGTCTCAGTTTCCTCAACTGTAGAATGAGGATAATAATAGAATCTAGCTCTCAAGGTTGTTGTGAGTCAAACTGTGAAGTGCTGAGATCAGTGTCTGGCCCACAACTGGCCCTTAATAAACGTTTGTTTCCTTCCCCCTTCACTGTTCTCCTCCTTAGTCCTATCCCACTGTCCTCTCCTCAGGCCTAGTCCTCATTCTTTCCCACTCTGGTCTGCTCAACTCTATTGCTCTGCCCTCTCTCTGTCTTCCCCCAGTCCTACTCCTTTCTAAGTCCCAGTGGTGCACCTGCTCAGCCCCTGGCCCCTTTACTTTCGGCACTAGTTTCCTTCTATATTACTGTCCTCCCTTTAGACCCATTCCCCTCCCATTCCACTGTCCTCACCCTCTTCCCTTCCACTGTCCTCCCTCCAGACCCATTGCTTTCCCTTTAGGAGCAAGGTCTTATTTGTCAGGTCCACAAACATGTGGAATAAATGGGGTAAACCAGTTCTATTCCTGGAAGTGACTAGTTGGGGAGGGGGTTGGGGGTAGGGATGAAGCCAGGAAAGAGTCAGGGATGTGGGGAGAAAGGAGAAGATGTGAGACTAAGGGAACATATTTACCTACCTTAGGAGTGTACTTGCTCTAGGAAAGGGAAGAATGGAAGGTCTCAATTCAGTCTTCAATCAGCTTCTGTTCAAGAAGAAAAATGGAAGTACTCTGGGCAGTATTAGAGGAGGAATCTTTAACCAGGAAATAGCAAAAAGGAAGTTATAGGCTCAAAGTTTAGAGAAGAGGAAGGGAGACTAGGCAGAAACAGATTTCAGGCATGCAAAAAAAGGATGTTTGAACAAGAGAAGAAAAGGTGGAAAGGGAGACATGGTCAAGCCAGTGGAAACACAGCAAGTTATTTCACTTACTGTTAGTAATAACTTTTATAGGAAAAACAAAGACTCCCAAGGTAGATGAGGCAAGCTTATTTATTATACATTTTCTTGCAAGAAGAGGATGTCCTGCTAGAGGCGGACACACCCTACAAAAGTGAAAGCAAGCTGGTATATTTCTGTCCTGAAATGCAAGGTCCCTCCCTCCTTTCTCCATTGTTTGGATCCTTCAACGTGTGCAACTTCCTGGAAACACCTACTTCCTATTACTCCTAAATATGTTCATCCCTCCCTCAACATACAACATTGTGCCTAAAATTGTGTTAATCCTCCCCCAGGGGAGGAGAAGATAATATTCATAGACTCATTAAGCACCCACAGTTTGAGCAATTTGTAAATTTTGTCCTACTTTCAGCACTTTGAACCACACTAGTAGTTTTGAAAAACAATTCTAAGTAAAACCGCACATTTCACACCTCTGTTGAACTTTAAGACCACTTCCTCTACATCTGTGGAAGTCACAGAGTCAATGTGATTCACATTTACCAAACATCTGCTTCATGGAACTGTGCGCTAGGCTCTAGGAGAGATCTTCAGCTTAGAGAAGACCCTTCTCTCATGTAGTTCTAGTCTAAGGAATGAGGGGAATGATTGACTCTGGGATCAGAGTCCAGAGGAAGGTACTAGGGAAAAAGGAACAACTCTTCTGAGAATATCAGTAAGGTTGGGGGTAGTGGAGAAAACTCTTAGAAGGGAATTCAGGGACAATTTGAATACAGAGAAGATTGGAATTAATCAAGAAATCCTTACTGATGATTTTAAAAAGACATGGAAAGACTAATGCAGAGTGAAGTGAGCAGAGTCAGAAGAAAAATTTATACCATAACATTAATATTCTAAAAATGAAAAAGTTTGAGAACTTTCACAAACTGATGAGGAATGAAATGAACAATTTACACAATAACAACCACTCTGAGTCCAACCAAACAACTTTGAAAGCTGTAGAAACGATGATGTATTAGAATGACCACTCATGCTTCCAGAGGACTAGTGATAAAATTTGCTAGCCAGGAGAGACAGGTGAGGGATTTAGGGTGAGGAATGAAATGTATACAAAAATATATACATCCATTGAGGGAATTTGTTTAGCTTGACGATGAAGATGTGTTACAAAATTTTTTTTTGATGGCATGTGGGCAAAAGGGAGAGAAAAATAGAAAATAGATAGAGAAAATAGGGGGTGATATAGATATGAAATGTTCCATGCACTTTCATCACTTTCTGATGAAGTCATTGTACTATTAGTTTTACTTTATTGCTTTGCTTTGCTACAAGAGCCCTCTCACAAGGTGAGAATGATCTAGAAATGATCTATAAATCTGATCATGTAAGAGCAAAGCACTTCAATAAAATTTGAAAAAGAAAAAAAGAAACATAAGTTCATTGTTAAGTAGAGATTTTTTTTCTTTTTTGTATCTACATCCTAGGATCTAGTACAGGGCCTAATAGGTGCTTAATAATACTTGTTGATTCTGTGAATGACTTAGCTAACTCTCAGCAACACAATGATCCAAGACAACTCCAAAGGACTCATGATGAAAAATAAGATCTGCCTCCAGAGAAAGAATTGATGGAGTCTGAATGTAGATTGAAGTATACTTCTTTTTACTTTCTTTCTTTTTCTTTTTATTGGGGAGGGGGTATCTCCGTTTTCTTCTACAACATGATTAGTATGGAAATAAGTTTTGCATGACTCCACATGTATAATTTATATTAAATTACTTGTCTTCTGAAGGAGGAGGGAAGGGAGGGAGAGAATTTGGAACACAACATTTTAAAAAATAAATGTTAAAAATCATTTCTACATGTAATTGGAAAAAATAAAATATTTTTAAAAATAATACTTATTGATTGTGAGGGGCAAAGAAATCTTTACTGAGAACCTATTATATGCATGGTACTGTCCTGAGCAAGGCAGAAGAGACAAAGATGTGCAAGGCATAGTTCCTGCCCTCAAAGACCCTAGGTATGGTGTCATAGAAAATAGATACGGGGGCAACTAGGTGGCACAGTGGATAGAGCACTGGCTCCGGATTCAGGAGGACCTGAGTTCAAATCCGGCCTCAGACACATAACACTTACTAGCTGTATGACCCTGGGCAAGTCACTTAACCCTGTTTGCCTCAGTTTCTTCTTCTGTAAAATGAGCTGGGAAAGAAAATGGCAAACCACTCCAGTATCTCTACCAAGAAAACCCTAAATGGGGTCATGAAGAGTCAGAGATGACTGAACAACAAGACTCATAGATTTGGAGCTGAAAAGGACCTTAGAGGCCATCTATTAGAGTCCAACAACCTTCACTTCACATATGAAGAAACTGAGGCCCAGAGATCTAGCCTCTGATGCTTACTATCCAGTCTACCTACTCACCCTCTCTGAGCCTCAATTTCCTCATCTGTAAAAATGAAGTAGTGTACTAGCTGGCCTCTGAAGTCTTCCAGCCCTGGATCTATGACACTGTGATCCGGTGTGCATAGGTTCTAGATAGAATAGATTTGGAGCACCAAGGCAGAGACTTAGGAGAAAAGTGTTTGGATTCTGAAAGAGAAATGGAGCCTATGGGCCAGAGATGAGGATCATGCAATACTCACCATTACTTCCCCTTCCACAAACGTCCAGCACAAACCAAGATGTTGTGTTATTCCTCTGTAGGAATTTGTAGTAAGGGAGAGACAAATACTGACTCAGTACTGCTGGGAGAATTTCCTCTTCCTGCTTTAAAAGATTAAATCAAATCCACCCCACCCTGTATGATCTTCCTTCCCAAATCCAAGCCTATTGTCTCCCCATCAACTGCCTTCCCCTCCCAGGCTCCAGTTGCCAAGGGTTCTTTCCTCCCCATACCTCACTTCCCTCGCCGATCTGGCATCTGGCTAACTCCCCTTTTTTGGCCCTTACTTGGCTGATTTTCACTTTCAAAGTAACTGGCCCTAGATAAGAAAAATATTCACTCAGAAAGAGCCTCTGGTGGCTGATGTCCTCTGGGTATCAGTTACATAGATTGACAAATTAACAGGCACTAACTTTTCTAAGACCCAAACTTCCTAGACCTTCCCCAACCTCCCCCAAAACCTAGCCCTTCCCCAGAGCCCAGCTATAGGGGCTCATGTCGCCCTGAATCTCTCCACTTACCCTCACTTATCACATTCCTTTTCCTTTTTAAATCTTTGTTTCTCTTTCCAGTCCCAGTGACAAAGTCCCTGGATGTGACCAGGGATCAGTGAAGCATCTTACAGGTACAAAAGCACTCTGAGCCACAGGGAATGATGGAGGTCAGGAAACAAGGTGGAGGAAGGGAAGGAGACCAAAAGGTGGGGCCCCATTGAGGTGTGCCCTTAGGGAGGGCCCAAACTGAAATACATCTTGAGAGCCCTGATCTTAGCAAGCTGGTCTTAGGGAGTAGCAAAGAATGAAGCATCAGTGGAGAGCATCTCTGAGAGTAGTCCTGGGTAAGTGTCATAGCTTACATGCTTTTTTTTGCCTTTTTTCTTTTTTGTGAGAGGCAATCAGGGTTAAGTGACTTGCCCAGGGTCACATAGCTAATAAGTGTCAAGTGTCTACAGCCAGATTTGAACTTAGGTGCTCCTGAGTCCAGGGCCAGTGCTCTTATCCACTGCATCACTTAGCTGCCCCTTCTATCTCCTTTCTTTAGAACCAGAAGCCCTTGTTTCTGCAGAGTAAGTCTCCTCTCCCTTTCTCTTGGCCCCTGAGCCCTTGCCTTTCTCCCATTTCCCTCTCCCATTTCCCCAGTTTCCCTGACCTTAAATGTTATCTTCTTGGAAGCTGTCTTCCCTAGGTCCAGTAGTCAGGTTTGTAGTTAGTGGTTTCAGCTCCCACCAAAAGAGTGAGCCATGCAGTGGGTGAGGGAATGAATGTGGGAAAGGGAGAAGTCTCATGACATTTTCTCCTTTACAGGGACCATGGCCCTTTTAGTGACTGCTTCCCCTCATATGGGTACTAGACCCCACAATGGCTCCCCCATCCTCACAGCCATCAAAGAACAAAAGTCCCTCTGGAATTCAGATAAAGCAATGTGACTAGATTTGGGAAAGGATTAGGAATCTGTAGGTAAGAGTTGGAAAAAAGATAGCAGGACAGTCTGGGTTTTTAGAAGGGATGACAGAATTTCTCTGAAGGAGAAGAGGGAAGAAGGGGGTGATTTAGAGTCTATAGGGGAGCCCTCAAGTATGGGCAAGTATGTATTTGGCTTCTGTATGTATTTGGTGCTGGATGTTGAAACATTTGAGACCTGTCATAACTCTTTTCCACCACCCTTCTCCCAACTCCCCTAGTCTGTGGCCAACCTCCCCTTTCTCTCCAGGTGGTTGGGGGTGAGGATGCCAACAAGGGCACATGGCCCTGGAATGCCAGCCTCTGATGGCTTAAACAGCACATCTGTGGTGCCGACCTAATCTCCCACAGCTGGCCACTCATTGCAGACTTGCATTCCCAGGCAAGTCCCATAATGACATAGAGACAGATGGTGACAGTAAAGGAAAATTAGGGGGGAAAGGATCTTTTGAAATTGGGAATTAAAGGAACAAGAAAAAAGGAGAGGAATTTTAAAAATGTGGCAAGGAGGAAGGCTGGTGCAGGAAGCCAGGTTATTTAGCAGGGCTTCTTAAATTTTTTCTACTTGCAATTCCTTCAGCACTTCTTAAAGTTTCTGGAAAATTCTTAAGGGAAGGGGAAAAAAGCAGGGAAAGAACAGAAAATACTGGGGTCTTATTTGCAATTTGCACTTGCAATTTGGAATAAAAACTCATTCATCAGAATATAAAGTATACTGAACCCTCGTCAAGTGGTTAGCTTTGGTTATCTAGTCTCCTTTCTCAACGGCAGCCTGAATGCCTCCCACTTCTCAGTCCTCCTGGGTTCTCACCACTTGGACTCCCCAAGTCCCCATGCCTTGGAGCAAGGAGTAAGGCAGATCGTCTGGCATCCTGCATACACCAGCCTGGATGAGTCTGGTGGTGATATAGCTCTGGTACAGTGTGACCAGCCTGCGCCCTTCTCTGAGAACATCCTGCCCATCTGTCTCCCTAGAGCCTCTTCTCCACTTCCTTCTGGGACACCCTGTTGGGTGACAGGCTGGGAAACATTAAAGAAGGAGGTAAGCCTGTTAGAAGTCCAGATCACTCTACTTGCTGCCTCCCTATCCTGGCCTCTCCACATGTATCTTTAGTCTGCTCCTTCTCAGATCCACAGTAGCATTACTTTAAACCTAGGTATACCCAGTTCTGTCCTCAAGTCCTAATCCACAATTTACACTCCAGTAATCTTCCCTATTAATCTCTAATTCCTTCCTGTTAACTCTGAACAATCCCAAGATTTAAGCTTCATGGTCTTTCTAGTCCCTTCTCAGGACTTCTCTCCTAGTCACTTCCCACCCTTTATTCTTTCCTTAGTTCTTTTCCCAGCTCCCCAAACCCTCTAGCAGGCCAATGTTTCTCTCCTGCCCCGGGGAGACCTGTGAGACCCTCTACCACTTGGACTCCCACCGTCCTCTTAAGGTCCCTGTCATCGAGCACGACATGGTCTGTGCTGGCAGTGCAGAGGGCACTGCAGACTCCTGCCAAATGAGTAAGAAATCTCTTAACTTTTTGTCCTCCCTCATCAACTCGGCTCCCCTTGGGGCTGTTGCCCCTCCCCCCAGAGCCAGCCACACGTCAGCGATGTATTCTTTTCCAGGGTGATTCTGGGGGTCCTTTGTCTTGTCATTTGAAGGATCGATGGGTGCTAGGAGGTGGGGTAAGCTCGGGGGAGGTCTGTGCAGCCCCCAACTGCCCTGGAGTCTATGCCAGTGTAGCTGCCTCCACTCCTTGGAGGTGATCCCTTGCTCCTGAAGTACAGCAGAACCTCATCCCCTCATCTGCCTCATTTTCTGGCCATCCAGAATCATCCATTCTTTTTGGTCTAGTCCTAGTGATCGCAAAATTTCTGCTTGTAAGGCTGTAAACAGGAGGGAGGAGAGAGGAAAAAAAAGATTCTCTCTCCTTAAGAGCAAGTTGCTTGACCTAGAGAAAACAGGTTAAAAGGGAGAATTCAACTTGATTCAACAATCATGTATGAAACACTAATTGTGTGCAGCAGTGGTGTAGGTTCTAGGTATAAAGAAGCATAAATTAAATAGTACTTTCCTCAAGGACCTGGGATACAGTATTGGACTTACGGAGAGAGACAGAGAGAGAGAGAGAGAGAGCTTGGTCCAAAACCTGAATTAGATACTTATTAGTTGTGATATACCTGGCAAGTCATTTAATATCTCTGAGCCTCAGTTTACTCCTCTGTAAAATTGTTATGAAACTCAAATGAGATAATGTATATGAAGTACTTTGTAAATTAACTTGAAGTGCTAGATATGCTAAATGTCAATTGTTATTAACACTACTAAAATAGAAGATTCTCTTGTGAGGAGAGCAGAGAGCTTGGATGGGAGGATATAGATAGATAGATAGATAGATAGATAGATAGATAGATAGATAGATAGATAGATAGATAGATAGACAGACAGACAGAGCCTTTAAGCATTTACTATGTGTCAAGCACTGTGCTGAGTGCTGGGATATAAATCAAAGTAAACAGACAGTTCTGCCCTAAAAAAGAGCTTACATTTCAACGGGGAAAGACAACACATAAAAGGGGAACTGGGAGACGGAGGTAACCTATGGTAGCATAGCTGGAAAGCTGGACAGGAAGTGCAGGGAGACCTGTCCTCCACCCCCAATATAAGGTTCACCTCTCAAAGCCAAGGGACTCAAGGACAAAATCCAGGATACCTGTGCAGAGGAAATAGAGGTGATGGTCTAAAAAAGGAAGGCATAGCATGCAGTGGGCCCAGAGAAATAATGCCTGGACCAGAAAGATAATTCTCAGAGGAGAGACTATTATCAGTACCACTCTCTCCTTTCTAGTTTCACTGCAGCTCCTCTAAATTTGATGGTTATTGGAGAGATGGGGGCACACACAAACAACACACACACAATTCCCTTTTCTGTAAAATAAGGGAGTTGGGTTGAATAATCTCTAATGTCCCATACTACACTGTATGATTCTACAAATGTCACTTCTGTCATGGAGCTTTTCCAAATCCCCTTAGTTGTTTTTCAGTCATGTCCAATTCTTTGTGACCCCATTTGGGGTTTTCTTGGCAAAGATAGTAAAGTGGTTTGCCATTTTCTTCTCTAGTTCATTTTACAGATGAGGAAACTGAGGTTAATAGGGTTAAGTGACATGCCCAGGATCACACAGCTAGTAAGTGTCCAAGGCCAGATTTCAACTCAAGAAGATGGGTCTTCCTGACTCCAGTCCAGGAGCCCTAGCTCCCAGGATTCCCCCCAAAAAGTAATTTATCCTGCCTATGGACTAACATAGTTCACTGGACCATAAGTTTAGAACTGGAAGGGACCTTAGAAATCATTTCGTCCAGGGATTCTTAACCTTTTTGTGTGTCATGGATTCCTTTTGAAGTCTATGGCCTCTTTAGAATTATGTTTTTAAGTGTATCAAATAAAATATAGAGGATTACAAAGCTGTAGACCTCCTGAAGGGAAGGGACTATGCCTCATTTATCTTTGAATTCTTCACAGCGACTAGCACAAGATTAGGTACCTAGAAGGCATTCAATAAATGTCTGTGAACTGAAGGAGTTAATGTCTTATTCAGAGAGCAGTGGTAGACTGGAGTCTAGAACCCAAGTCTTGAGAATCCCCAGGCCAGCTTTCTCTCCACTGCACCTTACCATTCTTCTGGTGCTAGAGCCTAGGTTGGAGGTGGTTGTTTCTTAGAGTACCCAAACAGTCTGTGGATATTTTTTTTATTGAATTCCCATAGGGTGGAGAACTCAAATGATGTGGGGAAATGCAGAGACAATAGAAATCAGTCTTTCATGAATCAACAGTTGATTAATCAACAAGCATTTCTGAAGAGCCTATAATGTTCCAGGCACTGTGCTAGGGTCTGGGACAGTAGTATCAAATAGAAACAGAAGTCTCTAAATCATATATAAAGATCTCTGTGGCTGCACACAGATTTAGAAAACCACATATATATATATATATATACACATATATATATATATTTTTTATTAATACATCAACACATAAAAATCAGACACATTTTAATCTGGTTCAGGCTCCACTAGGGTATACTGTTGGCGGGCTCTTGCATGCAGCCAGCGGACCAAGTGTTTGATGCCTCTGCTCTGGGGATACAAGTACAAAGAATGAAGCAATCTCTACCTGCAGTGAGCTTACATTCTAACATGGGAGGCAGTAAATATGTGAAAAGATAATACAGTGTCACTAAAAGGTTCATAAATGCAAATATATACAAAGTAGTTTGAGAGGAAGGTCCCCAGCAATTGGGGCATGAAGAATAGCTTTATGCAGAAGTTGGTGCCTGAGCTAAATCTCAGAGGAAGAGAGGAACTCCAAGATGAAGGCAAGAAATGGGACAGGGAAACAGGACAGAATCACATTAAAAAACAGAGTGATAGCCAAAAGAAAAGCCTTGCCTGAGTCCCTCCTCAGTCCTCAAATCTTCATATGACTGCCACTAACTACATGATAAATGACTGTCACTAGCAATTCTTGGGCTTAGGCAAGTAACACAAAAACTACCAAGAGAAAATAAGAAAAATTCAAATTACTTTGGGGCAAGGAGGGAGACCAACCTTGGGGAGAGACTGCAAATATTGAGACAAGGACTTGTTGGTGGAGAAACCTTGAGACACCAGACTTTGTGTTTGTGGGGGAGTGGGAAGAGGGAGAAGGAGGCTGCTTGGGAAGAAGCTCCCCTGGGGTACAGGTTTTGAGAAACCCAACAATTAGCATCCTTTTTAAACTAATGGTTATTGCTAATTAAGTGCTTAACTCCACTGTTTCTACCTACTTAAAAGAATACCAGTTCAGCCCTGCACTCTATATTTCAGTGCCTTGGAGCAAAGCTCCAGTCATTCTGCCCTTGTTACAGCTCTGATGATAAAAACCTGGTTCCATATCCAGGCAGATAACATCAGGAAGTAGTTGAAAATAAAGGACTGGAGCATTGGGAGTGGTTGCATATAGACATATAGGTTGGGAGTCATCCTTACTTTATTTTCAGTTTTGTATTTTCTCCCTTCCACTTCCCCTTCCCACATGCACTGACCAAGAAAAGGGGGGAAAAACACTCTTATGGCTTCGGCTGACATCTTTGTACAGATAACTGCCAAATAAACCCGGAAAGACTTTATGAACTGGTGCGAAGTAAAGTGAGAAGAACTAGGAGAACATTTTATACAATACCAGTAATATTGCAATGATCAACGTCTTTGAAACACTTAGGACCTCTTATCAAACACAATCTCCGGCCACAATTGCAAAGGGCTCCTGAGATACTCCATCCACCCCCCCAAAGAGAACTGATAGACTCAGAGGGCAATTGAAGGATATTTTCTTTTCTTTCTTTCTTTTTTTTTATATGGCAAATGTGGACATTTGTTTTGCTTGACTATACATAGTTGTAATGAGTTTTTTTTCTTTTTCTCTTTGTCAGTGGGTGTGGGAAGGGGAAGTAGAAGGGAGAAAATACAAAACTGAAAATAAAATAGATAATATAAAATATTTAAGTGATCATAAGATGGTCATAAGATGGTCTCCTGTCCCTGGTGGACAAGAGAGAGTGGCCTGTAGGTACAAAAATAAGTTGGGTGACTTTCCAAAGAATCAAGGCACCCCATCCATGCTAGGTTTAGACATGGAATTTGAGCAATGCAGGATGGAGATATCTTTGTCTCTAGTAAATTTCAAAGCTGGTAAATGATTTAGATGGAATTTGGAACACCCCCTGTTTTATTTGGTAATTTCAGAATCACTGTCCACAAATATGAACTGGATGAAGTTAGTAGAAATCATGTGATTTAGAGCCAAATAGCATGACCTCTCATAAATGTGGCAAGCCCTTTCAAATGAACCTCTCACAAGATTGAAGAGTACCTGAAATTATAGAAAGGAAGACTCCTTCTTTATGGTTAAAGTCTTGGAACAAACCAGATTGACCTAGTAAAGAAATTGTCTCATATAAATTGCCCTCATTTTTTTCTGGACCTAAGATTTTACTGTGGGGAGAACTCCTGGTATGGAAACTCCCTCCACTGATGCAGATTTGCAGTTCTATAATCTATAGCTTTAGAGAGTTGTTTGGGGCACTCAGAGATTAAGAGATTTTACTAAGGTCAACACAACTTTGATTGATGTGATGCATTCCATAATGCCTTATCTCCATAGCTCTATACCTCTGTTTATAATATATAATAAGCACATGTCTAGTATTTAGGATGTCTGTAAATTTAAGTCTCAGACTTTGTGAGTCAACCAACAATAAATCTAAATGAATTGGTGTTAATTGTTAGAAAATTTATATTATATGCATACATCTTTATACAGCTATATTGGCAAATTGAGGTCTTTTCTCTTTAATATTAGAATCTTGGTGAAGCTACGCCTCTTCCTCTCCACCTAGATCAGTATTTATATGTAGGATCCAAAAGGAAAGTTCTAAGCGAAGGTTCCACTGTTCTCTGTCCCTGAATATGCCTCAAACTCATTTCCCTTGGCCATGGAAAAGGGTATTTAGAAAGAAAAGAAAATTCCTTATGATTATTCAATTATTAACTATGTAGTTTACTCCAATTTCATCATTTGGCCCTATGTCTCTAAACTATTCAGAAGATCTCTCTCTACTTCCAAAACTGTGATAGTGCTGAACTCAATCCAAATGAAATAGGATGTTTTCTTTTATTTTGTTTTTCTTTCTTTCTCTTCCTTCCTTCCTTCCTTCCTTCGTTCCTTCGTTCGTTCCTTCCTTCCTTCCTTCCTTCCTTCCTTCCTTCCTTCCTTCCCCCCTTCCTTCCTTTCTTTGCTTTGTTTTTTGGAGGGTTGTAGGTTTTTTTGGTAGCACTCTCATATCTGTAGATAACAGATCCTAAGCAGACTTTGATCCTTGTATTTCCATCCCATTCAATCAATCACTTCTCTGGAATCCCTGAGAACTGTGAAACAGAAACATTCTTAATGTTCTTCAGAGACCTAGGGTTGATGGAGGCACTGGAATTCTAAGATTTGCCCATACAGATGAAGAAGCAACTAGAGACACACACACCTGACAGGCACATGGGGAGCACAGAGTCCAGCTTCAGTCTTCCTGGACTCTCTAATAGCAACAAAGAATATCCTTCAATAAATAAACTTCTTGTGAGCAGAACCAGAAAAACGTTGTACACAGCAACAGCCACATTATGCAATGACTAACGTTGATAGAATTAGCTCTTCTCAGCGATGCAAGGATTCAAGACATCTCCAAAAGTCTCATGCTGGAAAATGCTATCCACATCCAGAGAAAGAACTATGGAGTTTGAAGGTATCTCGAAGCATACTATTTGCTCTTTTTTCTTTCTTCTGTTTTGTTTTGTTTCTTCTTTCTTATGGTTCCTCCTATTGGTTCTAATTCTTCTTTACAATACGACTAATGTGAAAATATGTTCAATAGGAATGTATATGTAGAGCTTATATCAGATTGCACACCTTCTTGGGGAGGGAAATGGGGAGGGAGGGGGAGAAAATTTAAAACTCAAAAGCTTATGGAAGTGAATGTTGAAAACTAAAGGTAAATTAAATAAAATTAAAAAAAATTAAAATCTTTTACAAAAGATAAAGAAATAAACTTCTTTAGATCAAGAAAGTTCATAAGATCATGGGATAAGAGATTCATAGCTAGAAGGGACCCAAGAAGTCATCAGGTCCAGCAGCAGCCCTCCTCCCCTCATTTTACAGCTGAGAAAATTGAGGCATAAGTAGGTCAAGTGAGTTGCCCAGGGTCATGAAGCTACCATGTGTTTGGGTAGAATGTGGGCCCAGGTCCCCTTAATTCTAAGTTTCTTGCCTTATGCCCTATGTCATGCTGTGTCTATCTGAATGACCTGTTTCTTTCTTCTCTGAATGTGGCAGTTAGCTTATTACAAAAGCATTGCTTTGAATTTATCAAGTATAAAGTATATATTGATTTAATTTGGAGGATTTTGTCAAATTCTTTGTTGTCAAATTCTCTGTATTCAAATTCTGCAATACATATTGGTCCATAACATGACCAAACATCCCATGAAACAATGCTTCTTTTTTTGCCACTGGAAATGCAATAAAACCAATTCAACCAATTTCTTTACTTGCCTCTTCAAGAAGAACTTACAAGTCATTCTTTAATTTAGCTGCTGTTTCCTTTTGTATTGTAATGTCAAGATTGTTATGATTCATTTTCTGAAGAAGCAGATCTACTCATTGTTCACTGAGCAAGGATATCACATTGAGAATGCCAACAGCTAAACCACTCTGCTAATGCCATTAAATAAAACTGTCATGCAGGATTGAGGGTTATTTTGAGTTTTTCTTTGTTTCATGGGTTACCTTGACCAAATAATTCATTACCAAGTGGCCAGACCACTGGTCATATGCCTCTGCAATTAACTTAGGTTGGCTCTTAGAAAACATACACAATCAATCCATTACAAAGACCATACTCAATGCTTCTCTATCATGGTAGAACCTTTCATGGTTGTCCTTCATGCTTGAAGAGGACTAAAATGACATCAAGGAACAGTGTGTCTGACTGCAGTTGATTAGGCTAATATGAGTTGGGAAGACTCTACCACAAGTCAAGGACAAATAGTCCTTATGAACAGTTGTTGTAGAAATATCTCCAAATTTGTGCATTTCACTTTTTTTTTTGAGCTACTTTAATTCTGTTTTGTTCATAGAATACAGTGCCTTCTTTGATTTGGGCATGCCATGCTGGGTAGTCCTGTGCTAATGTCTCCCGTGTCTCACAATCAAATCCAAACTTCTTCTGAGAGACCTTGAGAGACCTTGTATTGCTTCTCATGACCTCCATATGAGCATTTGCCTTGTCTAAGTTCTCTGCAAAATAGTCTTTTGGGCACATTTATGTTTGGCATTCAAACAATATGGTCAGGTCATTGGACTTACACTCTCTGAAGTAGAGTTTGAATGCTTGTCAGTTCAGCTTGAGAGAGGACCTCAGTGTCCCATGCCTTATCCTGCCAAGTGACCTTCAGAATCTTCCTAAGACAATTCAAATGGAAACAATTCAGTTTTCTGTCATGGCACTGGTATACTGTCGAGGTTTCACAGGTATACAACAATAAGGTTGGCACAATAGCTCTGTTAACATTCAGCTTGGTAGACAGTCTAATATCTCTCCTCTCTCACACTTCCCTTTGGACCCTCCCAAACACTGAGTTAGCTCTGGCAATTCGTGTGTCAACCTCATCATCTAAGTATCCTTCCCTGCAAAGTATACTGCCAAGGTAAGTGAACTTATCCACAGCATTCAAAATTTCTCCATTTGCTGCAACCAGTGGTTACAACAATTGGTTACAACCAGTGGTGTGATGCTCTCTGTTTTTTTGATGTTTATTATCAAACCAAAATTGGCACAAGTGGCAAAGAATGGATCTATACTCTGTTGCAAATCAGCAGTAGAGGCTGCATTGAGTGTGCAATCCTTTGTGAACAAAAAGTCACGTACCAATTCTCCTTCCACTTCTTCCTCCTCTTTAGTCTTGGCTTGAAGCCTTTTCAACTTAAATAATTTGCCATCAGTGTGGTAGCTGACCTTGATGCCATTTTTATCCTTCTTGAAGGTGTCTGACAACGTTGCCGAAAACATCATGCTAAAAAGCATGGGAGCAAGCACCCACCTCTGCTTCACTCCATTGTGACTGGGAAAGCACAAAAGCATCATCCATTATCCAGAACCCCTGCAGGCATGCTGTCATGGAACTGGCATACAAAACTGATGAGCTTCTCCAGGGAACCAGATTTTGCCATGATCTTCCACAAGCCTTCATGCCTGACAGTATCAAAGGCCTTGGTCAGATTAACAAACACTGTGTACAGACTTCTGTTCTATTCCTAGCATTTCTCCTGGAGTTGTCAGGCAGCAAAGACCACACAGACTGTTCCTCAGCCCTTTTTTAAGCCACACTGGCTCTCAGATTTAAGAAGCGTAGAAGCTTGTTGACTAGATTAGATTTGATTGTGAAACCTATGCCAGCTTCATGGCATCCCCTATCACTGCAGCCACTCCAGAAAAATGTGTATCTAGCTCCAACTTTGGGAAGCTGGCCTTCATTTGCCAGCCTTATCTCACACAGGGCTGCCATTTGGATGTGTTATCTGTTGAGTTCTCTCTCAACGAGAGCTGTCCATCTTTCAAGCCTACTGTATTTCATGTTATCCATAGGTATGCGTACATTCCTTGTATCAGTGATGAGTGGAATCATCTTTGCAAAAACTTTTGTACTTTTTGTGTTTTGACAGCAGGGTAGGATTTCTATCTGCTGTGGTAAGCAGGCCAGGGTTGGGTTAGGTGAAGCAGACAATTTTTAGGGCACCTTTTCTAGCCTGTTCCTCATGCCAGGAAGTAAGCAGTGTAGTACTTAAAACAGGCCACTCAGACACCTAGGGGGCTGCTGAATCTCACTGCTGCTTCAGTCCAGGGACAAGGTGACTCTATGGCCTGGGCTGCCTGTGTGCAAGATTGTGGCTACAGCTCCCAGTGTACCTGCACCTGCTGCTTCGTTACCTGCCATTACCACAGGACTTGGAGGTGGGTAAAAATGGTAAAAATGCTGTGGGTGATGTCTTTTGACTTCAGCATAAACTAGATTTAAGTGAGACAGAGTTGCTTCACTCATCAGCCTCACTCTCTCTTCCAGAGTCATCAGAGTCCAGTGGCAAAGCAACAGTCAAGATAAGTGGCAATGGCCCGAGATGCAGTGGATGACCTTGGCATCTTTGATGTATAACTAAGCTCTAAGTTCTCCACAGAGCCTACTTTTGCTGCCTTTGTGGCCGTTGTTCAACATCCGCCTATTCCACCAGGGGAAGTCTTCACATGCTTGGGGTAGACATCCCTCTAACTCATCAACAGGTTTGAAGCCTCTAGGTTATCCTAAACCTGGTTTAGTCTGTCTGCTGAAACAGTTTACCAGGATGTGGCTGCTGCACATGCTACAGCTTCTTGAAGCCACAATGGTAGGTGGACACCAAAGACAGATGAGCAGCCCTGAAAAGGGCTTGCTAAGCCCTCACACTGGAGGTACTAGTCCTGAAGAACCTGTACACTCCATAGTTTTAGAGCACTGAAGGTGAACTCTATTCCATGATGAGATACAAGTATAGGACTTTGTGGAGTTGGTCAGTACCCTTCTTAAAATACAACACCAAGAACTGAACACAATATTCCAGATATTGTCTAACTAGTATAAATTTAAATTGGAATGTCATTTCCTCTCTTCTGAATGTTTTGCTTTTACTATTGCAGCCCAAAATAGAATTAGCTTTTTTTGAATGCTATGTCTTTCTGTTCGCTTATATTAAGCCTGTAGTCTGCTTAAAAAAAAAACAAAAAAAAATCCTCAAATATTTTTTACCTAAACTGTTGTCTAACTCAGTGGTCTTCAGTTTGATCATTATAAGTCGAAATTGTTTGAGTATGCAGCTCCAATGCATGTATATTTGTTTATTTATAAAATATATATGTAGCAGTCATATTATTCTGGTGTATTGAGCAGGCCGGCATGGCTCTCAGTCAATCCTACTCTCCAACCTTTTTATGGTCTTGGCTAAGCTTCATTTTTGGGAGAGACTTTCCCTTTAGCCATTTCCTTGGTCCCTCCCCTCTGGAAAAAGGTTTTCCTTCCAAATCAGGCCACAGTAATGGCAAGGGCTTGTCTCAATTCTCTGCCAGCCAGTTTGCTTCTTAGTCAATGTGGCTGCCTATATGTCCCAGAGAATTCCTGGTGAATGTACTTTATCTGTCCTAGGAATTTGTAAAAGTGCATCAATAACTCTCCTTTCATCTCCAAGGTCACAGTCAGAAACCTCACTCTGGCACATGCAGCAGTTTTAAATCTCTCTTCTGGGCTGTTTTCAAATCACCTCTCTCAAAGCTGCATTCAAGCAAAAGCACACAAAGTTTAGCATTTTTTGACCAATAGCTTTACCACATTTGTTGGCTTAAAAAACAAAATGAACTTTTAAATACAAAAGAATAAGCAAACTTTTAAGAAACAATTTCTCATGCTCTGGAGGAGCATAAGATTTGGAAGTAAGCACGTAGCCTCTCAGGAGAGAGAGGGGAAGGAAAGAGGTTAGGGAAATAAAAATAATTGACCTTGGTCCTCATTTTTTTAAAAGTCAGTTTCATTTTCAGTTCTGAATCCTCTCCCTCCTACTTCCCCTCTAACCCACTGAGAAGGCAAGATAAACAAAACCTGTTAAAATATATGTACAATTAAGCAAAACAAGTTCCTACAACAGCCATGTCTAAAAAAAGAAGAAAAAGAAGACGAAAAGAAAATACTTTTGTTTATATGGGTTTGTTTCCTTTTTTACTGATCTTTTTTGGGATAGAAACCTAGTTGCAGTATCATTGTGTCAAAGGGTATTCATAGTTTAATTGTTTGGTTTGGGGCGCTTTTTTTTGGCATAAAATTCCAAATTGCTTTCTGGAATGGCATGACTAGTTCTCAGTTGCCTTATCTCCCTCCCCCCCCCAACAGCCACTACGTGGAAATGCATACATGATGCCTGTTTCTTTTGTCCCTGTTAAGTCTATTCTTCCTGATCTTAGACGAATGAGGACCAGATTACAACACTGTGAGCTTTAAAAGGTAGGAAGACAGTGGATAAAGCACCGGCCCAGGAGGCAGGAGGATCTGAGTTCAAATCTGGCCTCAGACACTTGACACTTACTAGCTGGGCAAGTCACTTAACCCCATTGCCTAGCCAAAAAAAAAAAAGGTAGGAAGAATGACCAGAAGTCCAGCAACAGGATTTTGCAGTACAGTCTACAAGCCCAGTAAGGAGTCAGTCCTATGGAGGGACCTACTTGATCCAGCCAAGCAATGAACTGACTTAGCAGCTGAGGCATCGTATCATGATAGCAAGGGAGTGACTTGTCCCTGGGAACAGCATGAAGTTAACTTGGTGGGTATAATTTTAAGCTTGAATATTCTCTCCCCAAGGACTAGAGTGATTTATAGAGCTGAGAGTATCCCCTTATTTTAGAGTGTTGTGTTCTTTGGTTCTTGCTATATCTTATCAGTAACTCTCCCCTTGTAAAACTGAAATGGAAGAGAGATCAAGTGATCAGAATTATATTAGGGCAGTAATCACTGGTCGAGTGATATTGAGGAGACAGTAATCAGCCAATTGATAGGTGGCATATCTTGGATGGGGCCTCATGAGCTATAATAGTGGAGGAACCCTGCAATCTCTTAGGATTACCCTTAGGATTGTGAGGGGACTGAGACTTGCTCTGAGGCCCCAACCAACTGGTCTGAGTGTGGTTAGGGTGAACACCTTAGCTTATATGTATTACCTATATTGAATTTAACACTGTAGTCATACTACTTTGCTTGTCTGTATCCTCTTCTGTGTATTTTTTCTGGATTTTTTGGTTGTTATTCTGAACTTGACAAACATGAATATTTTCATATTTACAAAGCAGAACAGGAAAAAAGGACTCTTGTATACACAGCTTGATTTAAATATATGTGTATATACATGTATACATACACGCATCCATATATATTATATATTTATAAAACAAATTCCACACATTAATGCCAAACCTGTTCTCCTCACTTGTGTCTCCCTCTGAATTTTCTTCTGTTCTCTTCAGTGCATTTAAAGCTGCTTGTTTTCTATATTTTCTTCTATTTTTTTAAATCACCATCATTAGTCCCCATACACTCACAGCTCTTCCCACATCTCCAAAAGCCCTTCTTTATAACAAATAAGTATCATCAAGTATAATAAATCCATATATTGTCATGTCTGGAAAATGTATGTCTCATTCTGCATCTCCAATTTATCCCTTCTCTGTTAAGAGATAGATGCATGTTCACTGGTTTCCTGGAGTCATGATTTTTTTCATCACATTGATCAGAGTTCTTAATTATTTAACTCTTGTTTCTCCTTTACAATACTGTAGTCATAATGTAAAGAGTTCTCCTGATTTTGCTCACTTCATACTGCATGAATTCAGGTTTCTCTGACTCCATCCCTTTCACCTTTACTTACAACATAATATATTTCTATTACATTCATCTATCATAATTTGTTTAATTATGCCCCAAGTGTTGGCCACCCTGTTCTTTGCTACAATAGAAAGTGCCAGTATAAATATGAGTGTATATATGAGTATAGATACATATATATACATATACAGATAAATTTATGTATGAGTCCTTTTACTCTTTCATTGCTTTATTTGGACTATGCTAGTAGAGAAAATAGATCTACTGAGTCAAAGGGAATATACAATTTAGTGACTTGTGAGGGGTATTTACAAGTTCCTCTACAGAATGGCTACACTAGGTCATTGCTATACCTATGGAGCACTGGTATTCATGTCCTCACATAGCCCCTCTAATAACTATTATTTTCCCCTTTTGTCATCATTGCCAATAAAATTAATATGAAGTGGAACTTCAGAATTGTTTTAATTTGCATTTCTCTTATTATTATTGATTTGGAGCATCTTTTCATATGCTTGTTATTGGCTTGCATTCCACCCACTCCTCCAGAACTGCATTTCCATACCTTTCCATCATTTATCCATTTGGGGAAATATCCTCTTACATACAGGGCATTCTCAAAAAAAAGTCTTTGTTGTAGTTGTTCAGTCATGTCTGACTCTTCATAAATCCATTTGAGGTTTTTCTTGGCAAAGATACTGGAGTGGTTTGCCATTTCTTCCCCCAGTTCATTCTACAGATGAGGAAACTGAGGCAAACACAGTTAAATGACTTGCCCAGGGTCACACAGCTAGTGAGCATCTATAATGATAATATTATATAGAATATATATATATTAGATTAGATATTATAGATAATGCAGATAGGTGATAATAGACATCCTTGCTTTACTCCTGATCTTAATGGAAAGGCTTCTAGCATTCTCTATTGAAGATAATAGCTATAGTTGCTTTTAGCTAATTTTCTCTCTCCTTCACATTCCCCCCCTCAAGACTGTAAGCAATCTGCTATAGGTTATATACATGCAATCATGTTAAACATATTTCCACATTAGTTATGTTGTGAAAGAAGAAACAGAACAAAAGGGAAAAGCCATGAGAAACAGAAAAAAAAAGTGAAAATTATATGCTTCCATCTATATTCAGACTCCATAGTTTTTTCTCTGGATGTGGATAGCACTTTTATAAAGAAGACCCCAGACTCAATTCTGAAAACTGGTGTCTCACGATTTCTTTACTAAAGAGGTTGAAGAGTGGTTTTTCGATTCTCAGGAGAAGCGAGCACACCTCCACAGGAAGGGAGAGTGCACATAGTACAGAAGGGAGAGCAAGCTTTATAGTTAGTAATTGCCTAACTCCTCCCTTCTGGGTCAGGACTGGTCCTAATCCTCCCAGGTTACAATCTTCCTCATATGCCCTGTTCATATATTTTACATACATGTGATCCCTACCCCTTAACATACATTTTGTTTCTAAAATTGTGTTACTGCTTCCCCCTGGGAGGAGAAGATAACATTCACGAACCCTATTACAGCTTGTGCAGTAGCAAAAAGCTGCTGACCTGGATTAACCCCTGGCCGGTTTGAACCAGTTCAGTTTTGGTTTCTTATCACCCACTTGCTATTCCCTGATTGGTGTTTTAGCCTTGAAGTGGTTCCGAGTCTTTCACAATGTGCTGATTTCTATTATTTATGTGGAAACTTAATTCTTTTACTTCTCATAGCACATTAGTTAAGAAGTATCAGAACAAAGTGGAAAAACCACAAGAAAGAAGAAAAAAGAGAGAGAGAAAATAGTGTGCTTAGATCTTCATTCAGACTCCATAGTTCTTTCTCTGAATGTGGATAGCATTTTCCATCATGAGGCTTTTGGAATTGTCTTGGATTATTGTACTGCTGAAAAGAGCTAAATCTACCAGAGCTGATCATCACACAATGTTGCTGTTACTGTGTACAATGTTCTCCTGGTTCTGCTTACTTTACTCAGTATCAGTCCATGTCTTTCCAGGTTTTTCTGAAATCCATCTGCTTGTTGAGGTTTTGAGTTGGGAGAGCTGGTTCAGGTGTGAAAGAATTCACTTAGACCTTCTCTGCAGCCATTGGGAGCTTTATTTCGTCAAAGCTTCACGGGCCTGAGATTAGCAAGGAGCTAAACAATATAGGAAAAGACCTAGGCTTATATAGACAGAAAGCTATACAGCCTGTAGGAAGATGATGTATTTTTAGCGTTTCATATGGGAATTAGAGATTAGGGACAGGATAAGAACAAACAAGGTGAGGAAAATGGTTGTCAAGATAAGGAAAAATTGTCATGACACAGGATGAGGAAGATAAACAACAGGATAAGGAACACCGGGTAAGGGAAACAAAGGCAATTCTTTTGGTACAGGCTGGGCTACAGAATAAGCCTCAAACCCCCTTAGGGGCCTGGGAAAGTAACCCTTAGTATTATTTTTAATCCTAGGGCACTTTTTGCCCCCACTTCATGCTCATCATTTCTTATAGTACAATAGTTTTTTATTACACTCATATACCACAACTTATTTAGCCATTCCTCAATTGATGGGCATTCCCTCAATTTCCAATTGTTTGCCACCACAAAGAGAGCTCCAAAGCCCCCATTTAAAGAGAACTCCCAGACCAACAAACTTCATTTCCTACCAGCTGCACTTCTTAGACTGAACTTCATCATGCCCCCTCCAGGTAGGTACCTTCACTCCCTCTCCCCATTAGATTGTAAATTCCTTGAGGGCAGGTACTTAATTTTTCTTATTCATACCCTTAGGACACAGCACAATGTCTGGCATACAACAGGTGCTTAAGAAATTTTTACTGGTTGCCTGATATAGGCTTAGCAATCATACCTCCAAGTTTGTCAGTACACTGGGACGCTATTTGATTGGGTCTAATTCAAGTAGAAACATACGCAGTGTGATTTAGGGGGCAACCTAATCATGTGTTAAAAAACCTTGCTCCTGGGTCTTGATTTGCCACGAACTTACTGTTTAAAATGGGGAAAGTCACTAAACTTCTCTGGGCTTTAATTACTTTATCTATATGAAACAATAACAACCAAAATCACTTCTAGGCCCAAGGTGGGCTGGGGCACTGAATCTCCCTACCTCCACTAAGGGGCTCCATTTCTATGATCCATGCATGTTCAAGAACTGGGTTTAATACTAGGGCAGCCTGGCCTCTAATGAGAAGAGCTGAGCCCTTTGTCAAACTGTCTGGTTCATTACACCCTAACATGAAACCCTGGAGAAAATTACTTTGGCTCATGGGTCTTTCCTAAGAGGGAGTAGAAATGTACTCAATGTACAATGTAAATTATATACAGGGCAGTTACTTATTTCCTCCCACACACAAAAGATACACTAAATACAAAAGACACGTTTGTGTTAACAGAAAAACTAAACAAGCAGCAATAGCTTGCAACCACTATTCTATTCTCCTGCAAGTTTGAGACTTTAACTTCTGAGACGACGCAGTTTGTAGGACTGCTGTGTCAGTATTTCACATTCCATTTTAGCTCTGTTATGTCCAAGGGATTCCTTCCAGGTCCATGTTTTCTGTCAAGTTAGGACAGGGCCTGGGGGCATCTTGCTACTGGTGATCATCTTTTCTGAAGCAGAAACTCCTCCTACTTCCTGTCATCTCCAACTAAGCAACTTGAAGCTCCAAACTCTTGAACTCACAAAGTTGCCTGCCTCCCATAATAATAATATTAATAGCTAACATTTATATAGCACTTACTAGGTGCCAGGCACCGTGCTAAGCACTTTACAATTCATTATTTAATTTGATCCTCACTACAACCCTGGGAAGTAGGTGCTATTATTATTCCCATCTTACAGATAAGGAAACCAAAGCAAACAGAGGTTAAGTGACTTGTCCAGGGTCACACAACTAGTAAGTGTCTCAGGCCACGCAGTGGATATAGCACCAGCCCTGCAATCAGGAGGACCTGAGTTCAAATCTGATCTCAGACACGTGACAATTACTAGCTGTGTGACCCTGGGCAAGTCACTTAACCCCACTGCCTAGCAAAAACAAACAATAACAACAACAACAAAAAAGAATGTATTAGAAAAGAAAGCAAAAAAACCTCTTCAGAGGATTTTTGTAATGATAGTCCAAGCAGAATACGATATTCTAAAAACAGCCTTCTCTTGACCCTTCCACACTGTCTAGCTAGTATACCCCAGGTTTCTATATCCTCAACATTCACTCCTCTGATCACTTCTCTTCTCCCCTCTGGGGTCAGATATTGTGAAAAGAATAGATTTGAACTTATTCTGGGAGCTTCTGCAAGCTTTGCTGGTTATCTAGCTGGTATCTAGCTTGTAGTGTCTCACAGCCCTAGGCTACCCACTAAAAGAGCTTACATTTGCCAGGAGAGGCTCACTAGATGCTACATTCTAGCAGAAGATAGTAGAGAGAAGGAGACTCTGACGAGGCCAATAACTAAAGCCAACTTCTCAGACGGTAGCAGAGGGCAGCCTGGTAAATACAAAACCAGCAGAAAAACTTAGAGATGACATGACGTCCAGAGAGATGAGAAGAGATGCAATGCGTGACACACCCAGCAGAGAGCAGCACGACGACATCACTAGATAACATCAGCAGCTCTGCACCATTGGAGATATGAGTCGCCCCAGCAACACATGAACCCTAGATATGTGTCTCTCCATGTTGCTGCTGCTGTTGTTGTTACTGTTGCTTGTCCCTTGTCCTCTAAGAGGACCATGACATCAGGAAGACAATGCCATGACATACACATGAATTGGACTGAAGTGAGGGAGGGCTGTGCAAAGTCACCAGCCTCACTTTCTGGAGGCATCCACCTGGATCCAGTGGCAAGATATAGATCAGGATGCCTGGAGAGGGTCGCTGTATACTCCTCCTGTGTGCTCTGGCTACCCAGGTTCCAGGTATGTGTTCCTCTTTATATATGTTCCCCAGTCACATGTTTCTCCAGGTATGCCCTCCATGTGTCTCCCCTGATCAATCTGTAATCGTCCCCACTGGTAATATGGCAAACCGGGGGATACATATAACATGCGTGCATGGGAAAATCTTTTCTTGTCACTGAATTTTTGAGGGTTTTTTGTTTGTTTTTGTTTTGAACTTAAGTGTCCTTAAGTGTCTTCCAGGTGATTGGTATAAGCACATGGATAAGGGCTTTGAGCTATGGTTTTGCTAATTCACAAGGCACACCAAGCCTGGGGTAACTTTCTGGAGGACCATGATTTAGGGGGCCCCTGGGTGCTATGATATACTTCCTTATGCATAAATGACATCTGTCCTCAAAAACCCCACTACGGCCCTATATTGCTTACTGAATAAATGTTCAGATTCTACACGTACCTGAAAGCTCATTAATGTTTATCTACTTGAGCTTTGGAGATCTGTGGGACTGTAAATGAAATCTCAGCCCCTCTTCAATCCTTTTTTTTCATAATTACAATCTATAATTTTTATTTTACTCTTTGCAACCAATACAGTGCAACACTTTGGTGAATTACAAAACTTGCCCCTGATATATAGGAAAATCCTAAGATTAAGATGGGTCTTTAGAGGTCAATCTAGTTGAATCTCCTCATTTTATAGATGATGAAACAGGTCTAGAGGGATAAGATGTCTTTCCTGAGGTTCCTCAGTTAGTATAGTAAGTGGCAGTCAGTCCTTAAAATCCAGCTCATCTTACTCCAAATGCAGAGAGATGATATCATGACTTATATGACAATAAAAATATCTGTGACATGCAAAGACTAAATTTAGAAAAAACAAGATTCTAAGAATTAACAAGCTTCATATACATTTACAGGATCACAAAATTTAGAATTGGAATGTGCCTTTAAACATTGCAGATGGGGAGGGAATATGGTGGTATGAGTTAGGAAATGGACCAGCATTATTCAAGTATTTGGAGGACTGTCACTTGGAAGACTTTTCTGCTTGGCCCCAGAAGGCTGCATCAGGAAAAGAAAGTGGAGGTTAATCTAATTGCAAAGAAGGAAATTTAGGCATGGTGTAAAGATATACTTCCCAGGAATCAGAGCTATTCACATTGCCTCCTGAGGTCATGAGTTCCTCATTATTAGATGTTTTCAAGCAAAGCTTAGAGGATCACTTGCCAGGTTTCATATGGAATGGGATGTAGTGGGTGGCTCATCATCTGAAGTCTTAAAGAAAAGGTCAGATGACCAGTGATTACCATCAGTTGTACAGAGCATTTTTGTTCAGGTATACCTTGAAGTAGGGGCTTATGGGGTCACGTCCAACTTTAAGCTTCTGTCTTGGGGTGGCCACAGCCTGAGAAGACTCCCCATTCTGTCAGCAGAGATTGGTTTCTGTATTCTGGGAAGCTGACCCCCCCCATCATCTCTTCTCAATCTTAAGGAAGAAAGGACAAGAGACATCCCTCACAAGGCAATGACATCAGAATAAATATGAGTGGGCTGAGTGCTATTTGTGTGAAGTTACAAGAGTGCATGGCCACTGAAAAATGGAGAAACTACACCCCAGATGGTGTGTGGAGGTAAAGAACCATCTGCCAATTTCTACCACAATCTAAAGCCCAGCAGATTACACTGAAGACACAGATGAAGAATGAGAGAGGGCAAGAGCTTACTCAACACTGCTGCCTCAATGGGGGTAAGACAAAAAGACTGTAGCTGAGCCAAACGAGACTACCAGGAGCCAATAAGTAATGATGGTATAGCTGTCCCCATTGATGGAGAATGACAATGGTGATTAACTCAATGCATTACTGGTCTGTATTTCATTTGTTCAATGGCAGATGAGAAGAAAACTATGGTAAGCTACACAAAAGCAATTTTCCTTCCAATGGATTCCTAACTTTCCACTTAGATTCCTAGCAACTGGGGGCTCAACATGGCCCAAAGAAGTTTGGAGTTTTTTGTTGATAGTACATTATTAAATCCCCCAAAAGCGGGCATCAAAATAAATGTGGGCCATCTGGATTACCCTGGGGACAAATTAAACTAGTGTGTTGGTAGTAGGTTTGGTAAATAGAAGCCAGAAGAAGCTTCCCTTTTTTTCTTCAAAGCAGATTTAAAGCCCCCATCCTTCCTCACCATCTTTCCCCTCAAATGGGGACACTCTAAGATATGGTATAGGAAAAAGTGGTTGTGGGGGATAGATGGAAAGGGAGCATCTAATTTTAGCTAGATGACTGCATACCACCACCAATGTCAGAGGAATCAAATTCAAACTATTTTGACTTTCAAGTCCTTCCATCATTTGGTGCCATGCTTCATTTCTAGCTTTATCTCACACTGCTTCCCTTAATGTTTCCTATGCTCCAGCCAAAATGAGCCATTTGCTATTCTCTGTATGTGCTATGAGCCATCTCCCCTCTGTGACTGTTTAGACTATTCCCTCTACTTCTACCTTTGCTTGCTATCTTACCTACCCTGTAAGACCCTGCTCAAATGTCATTTCTTTCATAAAGCTTTCTCTCATCTCCCTACCAGTAACAAATCACCTTTCACCCCTCAGAGCTCCCAGAGCACCTGTTTTTCGTCTCTTTTCTACTGATCCTAATTAATTTTGTATTACAGTTTATGTGTATGGCTTGTCTCTACTACGTTGTGAGTTCCATTAGGGTAGGGAACATTGTTCTGCCAATTGTAGATGCTTAATAAATGTTCGTTGAAGTAAAAGAAGATAGAAAAGGGGGGAGTTAGAAGAGAAAAAATGAGGAGATAGAAAAAAATGAAGAATTAGAGAAAAGAAAGGGAAATAAGAGTTAGAACTAGAGAAAAACCTCATAGATTATCTAATCCAATTTACAAATTTTATGATTGGGGAAACTGAGGTACAGAGGTTGTAACTTAGTCAAGGTCATTCAATATTAAGTGGAAGAGCGAAGATTCAAACTTGGGTTTTCTGACTCCAAATCCAGTTGTTTTTCCATTTAAGAAAGAAAAGAAGGAGGGGGTAAGGACAGAAGGGAAAAGGGAGATAGCCAGCATCACTGTGTTTCCATATATTAACTTATTCTCTTTTTCTTCAGAAAAACCTATTAGGGGCACTTATCTCTGCTACTTTAGAGTCTATTTTGTATTTGTCTACCTGGTCTTTAAGATAAAACTATGGTTGACTCAGTGCATTGCTGGTCTGTATTTCATTTGCTCAAAGGCAAAAGAGGAAGACTACGGTAAACTATAAAGAGGAGCTTCTCTTTCCAGTCACTTGGATTTCTAACAGCTGGGGGCTTAAGGTAACCTGAAGAAGTTTTTGCTTTTGTTTTCATTTTTTTATTGATAGGATATTATTAAATTTCCCCAAAGCAAGTGTCAAGATGAATCTGAACCATCTAGTTCTCTGCCTCCAGCCCCTAATCCCATCTTTCCTGGCATACATGCTATTAGAAGCAGCTGGAAGAGATCTCATTTATATAGAGGCTTCTAGGGTTAGGGCCCAAAAATTAAACTTCTGGTGATGATCCTCTTCAAATTTAGGTGGGCTGGTCCTTAAACAACAAACATACAGGTTGTCTCAAAAGACTTAGTATGGTTTTAAGCTTTTGTTGCTGTTTAGTAGTTTTTCAGTCATGTCTGACTCTGTGAGGAAGAGGAGAAAATTGAAACAAACAAGGTTAAGGGACTTGCCCAGAGTCACACAGTAAGTGTCTGAGGCTGGATTTGAACTCAGGTCATTCTGACTCCAAGGCTGATGTTCTATCCACTGCAGCACCTAGCTGCCCTGTAGTTTTAAGCCATGAAATCTTAAAACTGCATTAAGCTTGCCAAAGTTTAAAACCATATTAAGACTTTTGAGGACATGCTCTATAATCAATCTCAAAGCCTATTTTTTTTGGAGAGACTTATCAGACCATAGCACTCCCCTGAAATAGATTTTATTTTATTTTTATATATTTTCAACTAACTATAAAAACAACTTTTAACATTTGGGTTTTTTAAATTTTGAATTCCAAATTCCCTCTCTTCCTTGAGAAGGCAAGCAACTTGATACAGATTATACATATGTAGCCATGCAAAACATATTTCCATATTGGCCACTTTGTGAAAGAAAACATAGACCAAGAAAAAAGAAAAAGAAAGTAAAAAAAAGTATGTTTCGATCTGCATCCAGAGTCCATCCAGTTCTTTCTCTGGAGGAGGACAGTGTTTTTTATCATAAGTCTTTTGGAATTGTCTTGGATCACTGTATTGCTGAGAATAGCTGTTATTCACAGTTGTGGAATAGCTTTTAAGAACCCAAGGTCACCACCATACCATAATGAGAAATCCAGACTTAAGAATAGGACTTCAGTGGAGAAACAGTGGCACAAATAATTCCAAATAGGCAAGAGTTCAAAAGTATTTCATGTTTGATTTTAGAATGAACTGTACAATGTTTTGGGCAGCAGCTTTACCTTCCTAATTTTCTTAGGCTTATGCTAAACTTAGCTTGCATTCTCAGAGTCTAGAACAATTAGTGGCGGAAAGATATCCTGAAGTATTCAGCCAGGATTAACAATGTAGAAATTATCCACCATCCTATAAGTCCAGGTAGAAGAGACCAAGGAAAGGCAGATTTTGGGGTATGGGAAGACCTCTATTCTCATCCATCTCATTTGTTGAAGCCAGTTCAATCACATGTAGCTTTTGGCATACTAACCCAACACTCATCTCCCAAGTATATCCAGCATTCAAGTACCCATCCAATGGTTTCAGAAAAACCTGGAAAGCATTATATGAACTGATTCAAAGGGAAGTGAGCAGAACCAGGAAAACATTGTATACAGCAATAGCAATATATGGCCAAATAAAGCTGTTTTCAATAATTCAATAAGCCAAGACAATTCCAAAGGACTTATTATGAATAATGCTATCCACCTCCAGAGTAAGAACTGATGGAGTCTGAATGCAGATCGAAGCATGCTTTTTTAAACTTTATTTTTATTTGGGTTTTTTTTTTCTGTTTTCTTTTGCAACATGGCTAATATGGAAATATGTTTTGCATGACTGCACGAGAATAATCTATATCAAGTTACTTTCCTTCTCAAGGAAGGAGAGGAGGGAATGAGAGAGAAAATTTGGAGCTCAAAATTTAAAAAAATAAGTTAAAAATTATGTTTACATGTAATGGGAAAAAAATTTTTTTTAAATCAAGTTATTACAGAATGCAGCCCTGACTTTCCAGGTGCTTTTTTGCAGTGGATTGCTTTGACTTCTGGTCCCATACTTCACTGTCTTCTTTGGAATGAGTCTGCTCACTGCACAGTCTCCCAGATCTGCCTTGAACTTCTGCAGTAGAATCTGGGAGTTCTAGGGCAGACTCTTACTTAGCCTCAACAGCCCTAGTTCCATTTTGAAACTAGCTAGGACCAGTTTTACACAATGCCAACCTCTCATTTTCTGCTATCTTCATCTCAATCTCTTCACCCAGCTCTGAAGACTCGAGACTGCCCTTGCTGTTCAGACATCAGGTGTCCTCCTACATTCTTGCCATATACCACCCCCTTGGCCATTTTGCTCTTCAAAAGGCAAAAGTTCCTGAAAGCCATGGGGAAGCATGAAAGAGTTCTCTGAGATAAGAAAATCATTTTAAAAATAATTCAGAGGGACCAAGAGACTGAGAGAAAACACAGGAGGGATGAAGACCAATACCGACCTGAGGTGGGAAGAGTGGTAACAAAACAAGTTATCATTATGCATAGAAATGGAGGAATCATATGAACTGGGACTAACTGGGATAAACTGGGGGGAAAGCCGTGAGAGAGAGACTGGGCACAGAAAGGAGACGGAGGTGGGGGGTGCTCCTGGCTGGAACTGGGGACAGACAGAGCAGCTGGAGTGGGGACAGAGTCTGTGCTCACAGCTCAGAAATGTCCCAGCTTAGCCAGCAAACAGGACTCAGCCCCTTTTACCCCTCCTCACTCACCCTCTAACCTCCTGCAGTCTGCTCTCCCTCAACCCATCCTTACTAGGCTCCCAAGAGACAAAGGTAAGTCCTAAGACAAAGGTTCACAAATTAGGTATCCTGTCTTTTCCCAATCTCCACTCCCCTCATATAACCCTGACCCCTTACTTCCAGTCTCCATTTCTTTTCCCTTTCTAGAATTCAGGCATACTACCTCAAATCCTCCATTTCTCCCCATCAGACTCCATTCCCTTCCAAAAACCCAGGGGGGAGAAATGACTGATTAAATGCAGATCAGAAAAAGGAAGAAGAGAAAATAAACAGATGTCTGCAGGGGGAACCACTGGGAAGGGGAGGGATGTAGAGAATTTAAAGGGCTAACATGGGATAGCTGGGAGCAAAAGCAGGAAGTGGGAACTGGATTGATAAGTTGGGAACAAGGAGGTCAGAGCATCTCTAACTTGAGAGGAAAGTGGAGTAGGATAAGGGAATGCATGGGTTGGGGGGCTAGGACGCTGGGTCCAGCAATGAGTTAACGTCTGCTGTGGTTTTTCTCAGACAGCCTGTAATGAGAGCCAGGTGTCCCACTGGCCCCATTCCCACTCACCCCCACCCCTGACCCCCTCCTCCTTCTAGTGTAAACTGATCCTGTTTCAGTAAGGGAAGGGGGAGGGGGAGATTGCAGACAAGGGGGTGGGGAGAGGGATCTGGGAAGACCTGGCTGGTGCTCAGACAAATAACTCTGTCCTGTCCCAGCACTGCAGAGAGAGAACAGCCTCCGAGCTCAGCGGACAACATGAAGGTATTGGGAGAAAAACTTGGCCCCAGCGCAGGAATCTCCTACCAGATAGGCCGCTATTATGGCTTAGAATGGATCTGTTACCCAAGGGAGGCTCTTACACAATTAGAAATGACTACCTTTATGTGGGTGCAATCAACTGAGAAGATACTAGAGGGAGATCTAAGAGTGGTGGGAACTAGCTGTTTTCCCTTATCACTGAGGGGCACGGTAAGTTGGTCAGCAGTATCAGGGTTTGGGAAATGAGCTCTAGTCAAAGGAAGGAAATTCCTCGAGGGGCAACAACACTGCCTCTCAAGCAAGAGTCTGAAAACACTGAATTGACTTAGGGTTGATGTTGGAAACTTCTGGGACCCTGTACATGTGACCATTTATCTTATGTTCTCCAGGTCTCTCTGCTGCTGCTCTTCCTCTTCCTTCATACTCCCTACTGCTCCTCCCAGTCCCCGGGAATCCGAGGAGATGGTGAGCTGCTAACCGGGGACATCCACATCCCAATTCCTTGGGAACAGAAAAGGGGCCAAGGGGGTGCCGGGGAAGTCATTCATCTGAATGAGAGGGACAGAATGGGTGGAGACAATTCTGAACCATGTACTTAGAAAGCACCTGGTTTGGGGCAGAACTGCAGTGCTGGAAGGGATAGCGGGAGCAGACAATGAGATAGTGCATAGAACTGGCAATCAGGAGACCTAGGTTCAGATTTCAACTCTGTCACTGACTAGCTGAGGAAGTCTGTGCCTCAGTAGGTTCAGTGGCAAAAATAACAGGGTTGGAAAACATGATCTCTTTTAGCTCTTTGGAACTATAAAAAGGCAAGACTTTCCACCACCAGAGAAAACCAGGGTGGGGGCTGAAAATTAGTTCAACCCAGAAAACAGCAACTGATGTTCTTTGTCCTCTGTCTCCTAGCTCTGGAAAAGCCCTGTGCTCAGCAGCCCCTGGACTGTGATGACGTCTACGCCCAGGGTTACCGAACCGATGGGGTTTACCTTATCTACCCCTCAGGACCCAGTGTTCCTGTGCCAGTCTTCTGTGATATGAGCACTGATGAGGGCAAATGGACGGTAAGACAGACAGGAGAGTTGCTGACCTGTCATAGGGCAGGGAGACTAGAAGTGGAGACGGCAGTTCTAAGCTGCATAATCTTAAGCAAGTCACTTAATTGCTCTGGATCCCTATTCCTTCATCTACAAAATGAGAATTGTACTAGATGAGCTCTAAGTCACTTTTGGCTCTGACTTTTGAATTCTATAAGAAGAAAGCTCAGGGAAACTGGGTTGAAGAGAGGAAAGCCTTAGAAAGTGGAGGCACTTAATAGAGAGCACAAGAAGCTGTTTGAGGAGGGACCTGTAAGAGAAGAAAAACTTGAAAACAGGAATTGATTCAAGGAGTATCAGTCAAGTCCAAACAATACCCATAATCCCTACCCCCTATCAGGCTTTTCGCAGTCCAGCTTTCCACTTTCTTGGCTCCAGGTTTTCCAGAAGAGATTCAATGGCTCCGTCAGCTTCTTCAGGGGCTGGAATGACTACAAGCTAGGCTTTGGTCGAGCTGATGGGGAGTACTGGCTGGGTAAGGTGAAAAGAGAACTGGGGCCTGGAGGGCAGACGTCTGGGAAGGGTGTGGAGGCTGAGAGACAGCCAGGGACTGATTACTTGAATTCTAGGGTGGGGGCATTGGAACACTTACTGGCTCCTAACCTCCCTTGGCCTTCTAGGGCTAAAGAACATCCACCTCCTGACTCTGAAACAAAAGTATGAGCTGCGTGTAGACTTGGAAGACTTTGAGAACAATACAGCCTATGCCAAGTACACAGAATTCTCTATTTCCCCCAATGCTGTCAACGCAGAGGAAGATGGCTACACTCTCTATGTAACCGGTTTTGAAGACGGGGGAGCAGGTAACATTTAAGTTTCTCTCCATCCCTCTTGGCCATTTCCCTGCTATTCCCCAGTTTTTGTAACTTGAAGACAAAGGCCCTCAGGAAGGAGAGGTGAATAGAAGCTGGCACTGCCAGACTGGTCCCCAAGCCTGAGGCCCTCACATTCCCTCTAAGGTCCCACCCATCTTCCCCTCCCATATCTGGCAGAATCCACAGCTGAGCCAGGGCCAAACTTCAGCCTCAGCCTTGGCACCAAAAGGAAGCTATAGTCAGCTTTGCTCCAAGCCTTCTCCTTTCGTCTCCCCCATCACAGAGCAGATGTTTCCCTTAATTTCCGAAAGCACATCTGTCTAACATCTGGTAAGGGTGGGGTAGGAAGCCATCCTCCCCTTGCCCCCAGTTTGCCATGTTATGGAGATCTCATTTTCATGTTCTACTAGTCACTCCCCACCTATATCCATTCAATCTTTATGATCAATTCCCCAACCTGTGCTCTCTTCTCCTCCCTTCTTCCCAGGTGATTCTCTTTCCTACCACAGTGGCCAGAAATTCTCCACCTTTGACAAGGACCAGGACCAATTTGTGCAGAATTGTGCAGCACTCTCATCTGGAGCCTTCTGGTTCCGGAGCTGTCACTTTGCCAATCTCAATGGCTTCTATCTTGGGGGGACCCATGTTTCCTATGCCAATGGTATCAACTGGGCCCAGTGGAAAGGATTCTATTATTCCCTTAAACGTACTGAGATGAAGATTCGCCGTATCTGAGGGCAGCACCCCTTTATGTAACGATTATAGCCCTCATTCTCATCTTTCACCCAGCTCTCTATTCAGTTACTGGCTTCTGTGGCTATTCATTTTTCTACTGACTCCCCTACCCTTGTATTTTTGCTATTTGTCAGTTAGTACTTATTCCTGATTCCTAAGCTAATGGCCTTTGCCTTTTACTCAGCTGTTGTCAGTCCCACCTAGATCTAATTCATTTTTATACCCAGATATCAATGAGAAGGAGAGTGGTGTATTGGATACAGAGCAGCCTTGGAGTTAGGAAGATCTGGGTTCAGATCTTCTCTCTAACACATACTACCTAGATTAAGTCATGTAACCTGTGTCCAAAGACAACTCTGACTCAACTACAGATAAATTATCTATCCACAGGAATGAGATTTTTACAGGCAATTCCCCCACATCAATGAAAGTACATGTCTAGACCAAAAAACCCAAACCCATCAAAATTTTGCTATCATTCTGATGCTGTTAACCCTACCCAGACCTAGTTTATTTTTATGTCCAGCTAATACCACCACATCTAACCTATGGCCCATTACCTATATAGCGTGGCTCACTCCCTAAAGAGGCTGAATGAGCTGTTAACCTTTTGTCATCCAAGTAGGGTTGTTTACTAACCACGCCCTCGGATTTTTCTAATGAGCTGTGCCCATAGACTATCTAAGAAATCAGCCTGATTTGGCTATCATACTCAGCTATGACTATATATTTACCCCAGAAATGGCTGTTTTGTCACTTAGGAATATGATTGTCATAGGGGTCACCAAAGAGTCAGTAGTTCATTAGCTGTGGTCTCTTAAATTCCAACCTGGAGCCAGCTGCCTTTGGCAGTCTTCCTTAGTTGTCAATTCGTCACTCCAGGGCCAGCTAATATCGTGCTGTCATAATGAGCTGTTGCTATGTCCCACTGCAGAGCCAACTCTACTCTGCTGTTTATATATAATTGGCTGCCAACTCTCCTACCCTATCCTTTCCTGAAACCATATTCCATTTCAGAGGTGAGTATCAGAAAGGGCCACACTCCCATACCAGCTGTGCCTAACCTCCTTCATTCTCTCAAAGCTAGTTAGTTGCTTTCTATTTCCCAATTTATGTTGCACACTATTGATAAAAATGTATAAGGTCCAGTCATCCCACCTCATCCAATCAAGTGCATTTTAGTGACAAGTATAAGGAAGGAGGGTGGGAAGGAAATGGATCATTGTTAAGATGAAACTATCCTACCACAATACCTTAAGTCTACTCCCAGTCAGCAGTTCCTACATCCCCTTCAGACTGTGTTCTTCAG